TGGTTACAGAAATAACTGTTCTGTTTAACGGCACTTCCATTAATATAACCGTTTTCACGATCCACGCACATGAACACATAAATATACAATATGGCAGCTGTTGTCTCTTTCTCGCTAACGCGCAGATCCGGCTTAATATCATTTCATTCATTTGGCCCACAAAATCAATTAAAAGCGCAATTAATTTGTTTGACAGCTAAAGAAAACAAACGCCAGAGTTTTGAGTAAAAGCTCAACCAGAACAGCGGAAGAAGAGAGCGAGCGGCAGAGCGAGATAGGAAGAGGCAGAGAGCAGGCAAATTAAATGGCGCATTGATGAACAAATGAAACGCAAATAAAGAGCAATAACAACAACAACAGCAGCAACTACAACAGCAGCAGCAGCAGCAGCAGCAGCAGCAAAAGCTCAGTGATGGCAGCAGAGACGTAATAATAAAAGTAATTTAATTTTAATGAAATTGTTAATACGAAAACAATTTCATTTTGTAAAAAGTTTCACAATGCTGCTGCTGCTGCTGCTGCCGCCCACCCAATCCCAGCAGAGGCAGCATCAGGGGGCGTGGCAGGCAGGCAGGCAGCGTAAATTGCTCGTGACAATGAGTGAGTGCAAAGGAATACAAAAAGCACACACACATGCGAAAAAGTTGCACAAACAGAAAAACAAATAAACAAAAGCGTGCGAAAAAGAGAAAACCAAAAAGCCAGCGAGCAGCAGCAGCAGCAACAAGAACAACAGGCAGAGCAAATGCCGTCGGTAGAGTAACGGCAACAAAAGTTGTTGGCAAACGGCAAACGGCAAACGGAAGAAGGAGCGAGAGAGAATACGAAAAATGAAATGCTGATGCGAAGATTTAATAAATGAAATTGGTGTGTGATTAAAAACACAAAAACCAAACGAAATCCATCTAATCAACTTTTGCTGCCGCCATCGTCCTTCTCGCCCTCGCCTAACTGCTACTGCTGCTTTCTCCTACCGCCCTTCAGGACACACACCACACCTTTACGATTTACAGTTAGCAGGAGCGACGGCGACAGCGACAGCGCAGCAGCAGCACACAGACGCAGCGACGCAGCCAGTGGGTGGCTGCATTGGAACGCCTACAAACCATAGCTGTAGGGGTATATATAAATACAGGGATTTTCTATAAAGGGAAATTCAATAGGGACGATCTTGTCAAAGCTACATAAATGTATAAATAGAATAAACGAATTTATTTTATTTTTTATTTCCTAATCAAATAGAATTCTTTTTTATATTTTCTCTCTTACACATTCAATATATTTATTTACCCTTTAATAAAAAATTCTCCCTACTGCCTATTTTCCCATTTTTTAAATTTTGCCTGCTAAAACCTGGTACTTTTTTTTGTTGGCTCCACCCCTATATATGTGTATAAAATGGCTGAATCTGTGTGTCTCGCTTACGCTGTATAGCAAAGCCTACAACTTTGCCTTAGAAGAAAAGAGAAGCAGCGACGCAACAAATGAATATAATTTACAGCACCTAGCTTTTGTCAACAGTTGAAATATTTCCTTTTCTCAGCTATTTCCACCACCGGCTTTGGCATGTTCAGCAACCCTTGTGCTTCGTTGGTGGTTTGTGTCTGCGTTCAAATTGATATTAGTTTTCATGGTGGTAAACTGAACTTGAAAGCTCTATAAGCTCGGCATGCATCTGGTAGATAAATCTGCATTGGAGATTTAAGTTAATTTTCCATTAATTTACAAACATAAATTTGTAGTTTCTGTGCTAGAAATAAATTTAGATTTAAGCTTTCATTGGTTTCAATTGACGTCTACTACTAGTCTATAATTAAAATCGGAATATTTAGATATTTTGTGGTTAACATCAATTCAATGGCAACAGCACTCACTCAGTCCCTCGCGCAATTCTAAAATCGAGCTTAATTAAATTGATTTTAACTATCAACTAAGCCCCATCAAATATAACAACTACTTCGTTCCACTTGATTCCACTCGATTTCAATCACAAAACTCCCGCCCAGCTGCCCCAATGTGTTCCAAGCTGCTCTCACGTTGCCCAACTACAACTACCTGTTCTGTGGCTTTACGCTCTCAATCCTTTCCTCTCTCCTCTTTCTCTTTCTTTGTTTTATGGTCTCTTAGAATCATATTATTATTCAAACTCTCGCTCTTACATCTGAGTTTTTATGTTGACGAACAAACATATAGAGACGAAATTAATCTCAACGTCTTTTTTGTCAGAGCTTAAGTTTTGTATATATTTTAATGACATGTGGTTTGTAATAAAAAAATATATAAATTTTTAAATTTACAAGAGCATTAAAAGAGTTTATATTTATAAGTGCTATATCAATATTTTGCCTACAATATAATTCGCTCACAGAATTTCCGTCATATACAAAACAGCCTTAACAGCTCAATCCACATGCCAGCGTGAGAGCAACTTCTACTCTGTTTGATAATGCGCTCATTGCTGGTGCTCAAACGGCTTTTCGGTTGCGCCAGTCCCTCAGTTTGTGTCTCGCTTCCGCAGCGTTCGCTCGTACTGTTTAAAGTGAACGCAACGTTGTCGTCGTCGTCGTGTGCTCGTTTTTGTTGCCGTCGATTTTAGTCGAACGCTAGTCGAACGATCTAGCGCATATCGCGCTGTGTGCTCAATTCCAATAACCACAACAACAACAGCAAGAGAACCGTTCTATTCCATATGTGCAGCGATTGAGCATAAAATGTAAATGTCTAATAAATGTTAAAGTTGAATGTTAAGAAGTGTAACTAGGTATAATTTGAGAAGAAAAATTAAGAAGAAAAAAATCATTGGCACAAAAAAATGCACTTGTCAACCTCGCGTTGCATGCGACCGAGTATTAAAGAGGAGGGGACAGGCAGAGCGAGAAACGCAGAGAGAGAGAGAGAGACCGCGCGCGCTCATTTGACATTTTAGTTAGTCGCAACAGCAACACCAACAAAAAGCACAAAGCACGTTCTTTTTAATTTATAGTGGAAAATTAATAAATTAAACGTTTGCTGCTGCTGCCGCACTTGTTTTTATATTTATATTGTGCATTCAAAGCGTGTAAAAAATTGCCAACAATTTGACTTAATTTATGCCAGAGGCTCACTTCACTCTCCCTCTCTCTGTCTATCTCTCTCTGGTCTCATATGACACATTTGCTTCGTTGTTGCTTGCAATGAAAATCAAAAGCTGCACTCCAACATCAATCAAAGCTTCCAAACATGCACTCGCCGCACTCCTTCTCTGTCTCGCTCATACTTGGTGGAAACTAAAACAGAGATAGAGACAGAGACAGCTGCCCACGCAGCTGCTTCAGCTGTGAATTTTGCGTCGCATTTTCTTTGCAAATCATTTTCCATTTGAGCTTCACAGCTGCTTTTCTACTTCTATGCATGCTTCTTCGTTCGGTTTTATAGTTTCACATTCTTATTTTTTTTTTCCAATTTGTGTGCGCAGCTCGCTTCGTTTCTGTCTCGTTTGTTATTTGTGCGCTGCCCGCGCGCATCTATTTTTAGCAACAATATTTTTGTTGTTGTTGCCTTTGCCTGGCTGCCTGTCAAGTTAACTACGCTACGCTGGCAGCGACGGCGACAGCGACCGCGGCAGCAACAACAAAGCACAGCAAATGCAGACAGGCCAACTATGCGCGAGAGTCAAGAGTATGTAAGAGAGCGAGAGCGTGAGAGAGCGCAGGTGATAAGAAGGCGAAGGAGAACGCGCGAGAGCGAGCAAAGGCTGTTCTGTTCACTTGTTTACCACACTCAACAACTTGTTGCTCTCTCTCACACTCTCTCTTTTCAGTGTCCACGTTAGGCCTAAAAAAAAGAACAATAAAGCGAACAACAACAATAGCACTGTGACAAAGTACCAAAGTGCAGCGACGTTGTCGTCGACGTTGACGCTGCGTCGCCTGCATGCTTGCCTTAATTTTGTGCTTCCTGTGGAGAATGGACAAAAACAACAACAAGAAACAGTGGCAATAAAAAGCAACAAGTGGAAACAGCGTCGAAAATAACATCGGCAGAAGCAACAACAACAACAACAGCTTTCTTTAAAAGCCGGCTGCGCAGCATTAAGAAGAAGAGCGCGCGCACAAAGCATAAAGTGCCATAGTGTAAGCGGGAGAGTGCGTGCGTGTGGAGAGAGTACTGCAACAATAACAAATCAACTGTTCTCTTTCGGGTCTCCTTTTGTTCAGCAACTTGTCAAAATGTGAGTATTAATATGCAATTATTGTTTACTGTTGCATGATTTATTATTTTACACGTACACATGTACTTATGGCTGTGTGTGTGTGTGTATGAGTGCACATGTATTAAGTGTTATTTATGGACTACGCCTACGATTTGCGATTGCACAATCGAGTGGAAAGTTGACGAGGCTATCGCCATTTTGAGCGCCCTTAAGCCGTGCCGCTCTTTGCATGTGGTGTGTGCGTGTGTAAGTGCGTGAGTGGGTATGTGTGTGTGAGCGTGTGTGCCCTTGCGCCTGCATTGAATAAACAATGAAGGAGCTCAGCTTCAAAGCTCACAGAGCTTAAGCCCTTGCACGTTATGCTTATTAATATAGTTGTCATTAAAATACCCTGTAAGAAAATGAAATGAGGGTATATTAGGGAGTTAGGAAACAAAATGACAAAAAAATAAATTAATAATAAAAGCTTATGATTGTATAAAAATTGCTTTAAATAAGAAAATAATAATAAATAAGATGTGGTTTTTGCTTTGCATAAAGTACTGGGTATCTATTAGCTTGGCATGTAAACAACTTACTTAGAATCCATAATGTATACAGGCAGAACTATCCACAAGGTATCGGCTAGTCGGTCAGACTGTACGTCCAGTCCTTTTGTTTATTGCATATTCATTTCTTTTGCATTCATTATCCACCCCAAAGTCCACACTCGATCGACTTATTGGTGTTGCCGTTGTTATTGTTGTTGTTGTTGTTGTTTCTCGTTTATTTTTAGACTTTTGTCATAAAGTTTAGAAAACAAACAGCGCAACGCGAAACAACTGCGGAAAAAAAGCAAAATAAATAAAATAGCTGACAATTTGTGCCATAAAATTATTCGAGTATTTTGCGACGCGTAGCCTGCGTCAACGTCGGCGCCGGCGTCGTTTTACAACTGCGCAGCTCTTGAAATCGCAACAACAACGGAACGAAGAACAACCGTTACTATCGGCTATCGCTTGTTTGTTCTGCCACTTGGCCAATTGAATAACTCTAACTGTTTAAAAAGAACGGAACAAAATTGAGTAAATACGCTTCAACGACTTGAAGAGAGATATGGAAGGGCGGAAATTTCCTTTAGCTAAACATTTTTCATCAGTTTATCAATAATAACATTTGTAAGAATTTTGAAAGATCTTAAAACATGCATAAAACTTGAATGAAATATGAAAATGTAAACAATGTTTGTTTTTGTTTATAAATTGTTGTGGCAAGAATCGAAATACCCCGTAAATAGTTGTTGGAAATGGGAGTTTTCTTTCTAAACACTGCGACATAATCGTCTGTTATAGAAGACCGCCCTCTTCAATCAATATGTTTTCCTTTATAAGAGAACAGATTGTTTATTTTGATTTTTTACCTTTAGACGTCGCTAAAATACAATGGAATAGATCAATCAAACTTGTTAAATATATAATTGAATATAGTATTTACCAAATTTTATTATCTTTTCATTATATAAAACTAAAAACAACAAACAAAGTTGTAGTGCTTGATGCCAACAGTTTCTAATTGATCTGACATCTATATATAATATAGCTCTACGTTTCTGATAAGAATTTGCTTAGACTACGGAATTGTAGTAAAGTTTGTAGATAACCTAAATAAGGGAAAATGATTGAATAAGTTCAGATTAGAAACTGAAAGCTAAGTCTTTCGGTTGATATATTTGATCAGCATATGTATAAGGTATAGATCTGTTCAGTTAATCATTAAACACGTTTTTGAAATTAATAAGGTAAATTGATATGAAAGGAAATAACGTATTAAATAACTACAAACCTTACCCAATTTCGTAATCGGTACAGTAAAGGAAATAACTCTATTTATAACTCCCAAAAAAGAGGTAAACGCATTTATAAAATGCCCCGTAATAGTATCTAGGCATAAATAGAGCTATATTTAAACAGAAATTTCGATAAGCAATTGTTAGGAGGTGTACAAAAATGGAACTTTCATTAACCATTCGAGTCTTATCTCAACAAATACTCAGGCGCTTTTTGTATAACTCAAAATTTGCAAAGCCTTTCATGCGATATCAATTTTATTTATTTGCTTTTCCCTCATTTGTTCATTTGCATTAGGAAAAGCAAAGGAAACGTGAAAAGCGAAAAATGGCCAAGCCAAAGCCCAACAAAATGTAAATAAAGTCACAGATAAGATGCAATCAAATGGAGACTTACGAATCCAAGTCCAATAAATATCAACTTGGAAAGCTTAGCAAGATAATTATAAATGTTTGCATACCCATTAAAAAATGATAAATATGGTGTGATTGTGTAGAGAAGAAGAAGAGAAACAGAGTTAATGTAAATGCATTGAAATAGGCATTGATATCTATGGTATCTATAGTGTATTGATTCGATTTATAAGACTTTGACATTGATAAGTATATTGAGATTATGTCATACAAGTTTATATACAATGACTAAAAAGTAAGATTATTATATTTCTCAATGACAT